GTGAGGCCTACAGAATTATTTAGATAAAGCTGTTTTGCATGAAAGGATATATGTAACAGCTACTTTGAACGGCATTGTGATTTTAGGGTGCACTTCTTGAAAATGTCAGAGCTGGCATAAGAGGGAAACTAAGTGTGTTGTGAAGCCTCTGCTGCAGGCTTGCCAGATGGCTTTCAGGCATGCTGCTATGTCTTTTAGACTTAACCTTCCTCATCTGCAAAATGGGGATAAATGGATCTACCATACAGAATTGCTTGTAAGCATTATTTACATAATACTATATGCAAAGAGCACTGGAGTGCTGGACAAAGCTCTTACCATAATATAGTTTGGAAAAGTTATGTTTTTGGACTACAGTCCCCAGAATCTCTTGGTCATCTGAAAAGTATCTGTTCCAAGCATTCATTCAAGACAACTGGATTTAGATGATTTGGAAAACAAGCTCATAACAGATAGACCTGTCTGTGATTGTTGGTTGTGATAGCTAACTGGGCGCCCTGAAGGTCACAGGCAGGACAACTTGAGTTTGCTGGATGCTGAGGACAAAGAGGGAGTGGTGGTCGTCATCCTGCTCCATTTGCATTCTTTCGAGAGGCACCCGCTCAAATCAGTTTTTGCCTGATCTACATGGAAGGATTTAGACTGTGGCGAAGAACCTGTGGCTTTCTGTATCTTGCTGGCATCCACAATCCCTCATCAGATTTTGAAAAGAATTAAGTGCTGTCATATTTGTCAGGCAAAAAGGATATCTAATGGCTGTCTCCCAAGGTTCTCATCTCCTATATTTGTGTTGAATTATTCTTTGCTGATTTCTTAGGGATCTGCTGGTGGTAAATAAAGTCTGAAGATGTAGATCAGGGCTGGGCATTTTTTCTTTTCTTTGAGAACCATGTTACCCACTGACATGTAATTTGTTGGTGAAGAGATGCATGTTGATGGCTCTCTGAGTAACTGGCTGCTTGAGTGGGGGTTTTTAACAGACTGCTGTAAATTACTGCTTTACATGTATGGTTTTTTTTGGTGTTGCTTTTGTTTACTGTGTTTTTTAACAGACTGTTGTAAATTACTGCTTTACATGTATGGGTTTTTTTTTTGGTGTTGCTTTTGTTTACTGTGGCATTTGTTTGATTCTCTCTCAATATTTCTATACTTACTATTTTTAGCTTTTAAATATTGTCTTTTAATGATGTAAGCCACCTTGGGTCCTTTTTAAGGAGAAAGGCAAGGCAAAAATAGTGTGAATAAATGAATAGATCTAAATATGTGAGTTTAGAGTCCTGAATGTTTGGGCCTACTCTTTTTTCTTTCCTTTTCAACCATTTTCTCTTTTTTTCCTCTTTGTACTCACAGGGGTTCTGGAGAAAGGACAAAGTATTCTTGGCAGAGAAGCCTGAATTAATCACTTCCAGAAAGAGTTGTTGAAATTAGATAGTAGGCGGAGACCACCTAATGCTCTAGCTTCACAGGCCGTTGTCCCCATGCTAGATGATCACAGTCTCTCCTGTCTGATCAGGACGGAAAACAGACATCAATCAGGTCAATCAAAGGCTAGCTCGGCCTCAGCAGTAGTTAGTGGCACATGAAAAATCTCTGTTCTCTGATGCTGATTTGCTGGAGAGCATTATTGTGGACTCAGACTGGAGGCTGGCATGTCTTCAAGGAAACAGCCCTGGGGAGAGTTGGCTTGACTTCAGCCTGCTATGAATGTAAAATTCCCCAAGGCTTAATTTTCTGAGATAAGCACTCAGATCACTGTGTAGTGTGCGTGACAACACTGTGTGCGACTCTCACTGACTAACCTCTGTGGGTGTGCTCAGCTGGTGTGCCAGAGCACACAGACACAGTAGACTACAGTCCCCATCTTTTCTCTCCAGCAATAAGAGGCTGCTTTGTTAATGCAGAGATATTCCAGTCATAGGGCCTGACTAAGAGCCTGATTCCTCCTCCCCAAAAGAATAACATGTTATGCTAATATGAAATTTCAGAGTGCCTCTGCTCCCACCATGCCAACAAGATAATCTTTCTCTTGTTAGCACGCTTCTCCCACCATGCTTCTCTGATCTTGTTTCTCTCCACAGCTCGGCTCACTCACCAGAATCACTACCTCTTGCTGTATCTACTGCATATAATTAGAACAAATATTGGCAGAACCCTAGTTTCAGCCTTTTCTGTTTTCTTGTTTGATGGGTTGACAGAGGACCCCAGTAAATTGTGGGATACTTGTGGATGAGTTGCCAGGAACTGGAGTTCTTGAGACTGTAGCATGGTTTCACTTCTGTGTTGAGAATCCCCAACATAAGAAGACACTACAGTGCTGGAACCCTTCACTGGAATGTTTTGTGAGCCACTCAACAAATGCCCATAAGAACTTAACGTAAACCACAGTACAGTGGTGCTTTGCTAGACGACAGTCCATTCCATTGAAATCGATGTTTAGCGAAATCATTGTCTAGCAAAAAGCATTTCCCCATTGGAATGCATTGAAATCTGTTTAATGCGTTCCAATGGGGAAGAATCGTCGTTGTCTAGCAAAGATCGGCCATAGGAAAGCTGCTTTGCGAACCACCGATCAGCTGTTTAAGTCGCTGTCTTGCGAAGCTTAGGTCCCGAAAACCCCTGTTTGCAAGCGCAGAGGAAGCTGTCAAAATCATTGTCTAGCGAAAATCGGTTTGCGAAGCAGGGACCAAACATTGTCCAGCGAAATTCCCCCATAGGAATCACTGTTTTGCGAATTGCTATAGCAATCGCAAAAAGCCAATGTCTAGCGAAAAAACTGTCATGCGGGGTAACTGTCTAGCGAGGCACCACTGTAGTAGTCAAGCTGTCTTATTGCAGAGCAAGGTTCTTGTTACTGAAATGTATTTAATCCTTTTCTCAGAACCAGAACAAGACACAGTGTATCTGACAACAATTAAAATAGCCACAAAAACAAAATAAAAATGCAATATGTCTGTCCCCCGAAAACACTCAAGAAAAACAAATTACAGGGAGAACAAGTAAAATGGACTTAATTCAACAGGCACACAATCCTTTCCCCCATCTTGTCTTGCACAAATGGAATGCAGTGCTGTAAGAATCCCACAACAAGGAGAAATACAAATAAAGTAAACGTATGTCCTGTTTGTGAGCGCTCTGTCAGGGACATTTTGAATAGAATGTTAGACTAGGTGGAACTTTGATCCAGATTCAGCATGTTTTTCACAGTGAATCACATACTGTATATGGGTTGCTTCTGCGCCTGCACAAAGTCTGTCAGAACATTCTAGAGCAAGGGACTCCAAACTACAGCCACATCCAATCCACCTTGCCGTTTTATCTGGCCCGTTCCCTTCAGCCCATGCATGCGTGCGTGGTGTGTGTGTGTTTGTGGAGGGGGCATCTGGGTGGGGGGTGGGCAGGCATGTGTGCAAGTGGGCTGGCGTCTGTGCATGCAGGTGGGGGTGGGCAGGGGGGCCTTTGTGTGTGCAGGCAGCTGCGCATACACATGTGCACGTTCCTGTTCCTTCATCCCTTAAAAAGGTTGAAAATATCCAGTGGGGCCCTCACAGTCTAAAGTTTGGAGACCCCTGTTCTAGAGCTTAGAAGAAAGGCCATTAGAATATCCTCTGCTATCATGTATGCTCGTGCCTCCAACAACCTTCCCTCAGTTCCTCTTTTTCTGCCACCAAGGAAGCATTCTGGTGAGCATTCTAGAGTGAACCCCTTCAATTTACCTGTCCCCCTCCCCACTTTTATTCATCTGCAGTTCTTTCCTCTTGCAATCTTCCCGGGAGGTTTTTCCTCCCTCTCCCTCGAAAAAACGAAGATTAAAAAAAAGAAAGACTGGGCGGATGAGTTCTGTTTTGAGACTATGTCGTGTACTGTATATGTAACCCACTCTTGCTGTATTTAGACATAGCCTTGTACTTTGCAACCTTTAACCTCGTACCATATAGCCTCATACATGTAGCCTTTTGTAGATAAGCTCACCATAATCTGGTATTCTTTCAACAAGTTCAAGGAAATGTCAAATATTTTCTTGGCCTAAATCCAATAGCTAGTCCTAACTTGAGCAGTGCTTGTGTAGACCCTATTGATTCAATGGAACCCTTTTAGCTGAGACCAGCAACTGGTTTTAAGGCATTTTTTTTCTTGTTGCTGCAAAGAGATAAGGTGGGTGGAGGTGACATATAACTCCTAGGGACCATCTGTCATTTAATGGCTGGAGGAGTTGCTAGCCTTATGTTTCTCTGAATGCGCGTTCCGTTGCTTGTCATTCATAGTTGGATTGCACCAAGGCATATGCAGCCATGTGTGCATGACTGCTGTGGCCAGTGATGCGAGAAGTGGGGTTTTCAGGAAAGGTGATAATTCAAGTTTTTGCCTCCATCTCAGTCAGGTTACTGGCTGCTTGATGTATTTGGTAAAACTAGACCCTTATTTTTTTCCTTCCCTTTTTGATATTTGTCAGGATATATGGCAATTTTAATAAGCCCTTTGTAGAGTTCTGTAAAAGGACTGAAAAAAAATTACAAATACTACCCGATAGACTTCCCGTCTGCAGGCTATGTAGTTTCTCTGGCTTAGTGCTGGAATTTCTGTGTAGGTGATCTTTAATCTTTGGTCTTGCTAGAGATAGCGAGGAAAACACTTCCTTTTCTTTATTTGGGTTTGCCTGCCGCAGATTTGTTAATGTTTACCATTATAAGCAGCTTCCTACCAACTGTGGCACTCACTCACCTTTTCAGTATCAAATCCTCTTTATTAGAAAGACATGTAATCAAAGGAGTGAAAAGAGGAAGGGATGCCCACAGTTCTCAGATCATGCTTGACTTTTTGTGTGTAAGAGATGGCAGATTTATTACAAAACATTTCTACAGTACTGCAAAATCCCAGGAGTTTAGTAGAATTCACTGCAGATAATGGATGCAGTGCTGCTTGCGTGTTGACTGTGAACCTCATGGCAGGCCTGATGTGCACTCGGAATGCCTGGCATGTGCTCCGTTTTGCCATCATCCTTTCCCATGTATGTAAAAATGGAATCAAAGAGGTGAGCTTGAGCAGGGTCCAGATGGCCTTTTATTCTGTTGTCATTTCATGTCACTGATATATACTGTACAAAGCTTGGAAAAATTACTTTTTGGGGATTACAACTTCCAGAATCCCTCAGCCAGCATGGTAATTATAATTTAGGAAGTTCTTTTCCAAAAAAGTCCCTTTTCCAGATTCTGAATGTATGTCTGTTACACCGGTTGCTATTGTGTGAATAGCTGGGCAAAACATTGTTGTTTTTACCATTCATTATCCACTTCCCTGTTTGTGATGAGGGATACAAGAGAGTGCAGCAGAGCCTGAGTGAATCCACAGGAATTGGGGGGGGGGAATTGGATGATATTTATTTATTTATTTATTGAATTTATATCCCGCCCATCTAGTCCCGCCCATCTAGTCAATAGACTAGATGTGGAGCTTCCCCACAAAGAGTCTATCATTCCCATATGAATCAAAGAATGGATTTAAAAACTTTACGGGAGTTAAGTCTTCCCTATCAGATGTACAGTACTTCCTTATTCCAGATTTATCCCAGCTTTTCTACACATTTGGGATAAAGAAGCTAAACTTTTCACATAGCTCTAGAGAAATGTTGAGCCCCTGTTATTTTCTCAGGCTTAAGCAATTGGGGGTGGGGGGGAAGAGACACTGTGCACATATTCAAGCGTCTCCCATCCTTGTTGTCATACCTGCTCCAAGATTTGACACTGAAAACAGGGAAAACACAAACCAGAATGAAACTGCATTTAAAGTGGCCAAATTATTCTGGTCTAGATTGGGCTAGATTGTAGTAAACAGGATCGCATTGAGGTGCAGCGTATCATTTGGGACCATTCTTGCATCCACATGCAAGAATTGACCACACCACTCCTTAAGCACCTGTGTTTGGCCCTTCTGTCCTTTTAAGAAGGAAAAAGAAAAACCAGGAAAAAATCCCCTCTTGGTTTCTCCTCTGGGCTTTGCTTAAGCTGTCTCATGATGATACTGTAATGGGAAACTGAAAGAAGCTTCTTCTTGATCCCCTGTGGAGGTGGGGGAGCCATGTCATGTGATCATTGGGAAAAGGAGGAAAACAGCCTGTCCCCAGAGCAGCCCAAACTGCAGGACTCCCTACCTAGTTACTCCCTGAGTCTACAAACAGCACCCACAACTCCCTGTTAGGTCAGTTAGCTCTCAGGGGCAGGGAGAATCACAACCATTTTGGGGAAGGCATAAAGGGGAAAAGCTACTGTTCTGGACTGTGACTTCTAGAGCAGTGGTTATCAATTTTGAATATCTCAGGTGTTCTTGGACTTCAGCTCCCAGCAACTCTGGCCAGCACAGCTGGTGGTGAAGGCTTCTGGGAATGGCTGTCCAAGAACACCTGGGTTACTCAGAGTTGAGAACCACTGTTTTAGAGCATGCCTGAAATGTTCTGAGATAGATTGGGTTTGTTTTAATCCCATCTTTTGCAAGCAGTTTAATCAGGAACTATGACCTGTACCAAAATCTTGTGGTTGTGAGTGCACTCAGTTTGAGTTGCAAGCCACTCACATTCTCTCCCAAGAGGCTCCATTACATCCAGGACCCCTTGGTTTCTGTTCCCTTCCCTGTGAAGTCAGTCAGCATTCTCTGCTCATTGAGGAGATTCAGGGCTGAATGGGCATAGCGGGGGGAGGGAATTACTTTGCTTCCACCCCCAATTATTTTTGTCACACTTCTGCAGACTTGGGGGTTCCCTGAGCCTGTTCCTCTTTCTTCTTTTCTGGAGGTGGCATGGGTACCACAGTGTAAAGATGAGCTTTCACTCTTGAGCGTTGCTGTTAGAGGGGATAGTGAAACACATACTCTTTGGTGGTTTGTAAACATTTTCTCCTAAAATTTGGGGGAGGATGGGTGGGGATGTGGCATATGGTCAATATGAGCCATTAATTTGAAATTACACTGATAAGGTGTCAGGGTAGTCAAACACTTCGGTGAGCATGGATTATGCTAAGAGTCCCATGATCTTTGCCACAACTGGTTGCACATTTATCCTGGATTTCTGACAGACGTCTGGCAGCAACAGGCAGTGAGTCTCTGATGAGGTGTTACCTTGATGAAATGAACTGTGGATGCTACAGGAGCCCTTGGCCATGAACAAGTTCTGACTTACCTCATGATTGGTCTTTCTTGTTCTTCAGGTATAACCTGTATGCCCACACCCGTCTGGGCTACCTGTTCTACAGGCGGCAAGTGAAGAAAGCACGGGAGCGTTATCCTCATGGGCATTCTCTTCCCCAGCCGGTTGTCTTCAGTGGTAAGTGCTTGACTCCGTTCTTCACTGCATCACTGGCAAATATGTGTTACATTGTTCGGAAGTGACTCTTGATTATTTGTTTTAATTGAAACCTCAAGGTAACAAACAGTCAAAGGCAGCACATGTAGGAGCTGGGAAGGCTGACACTGACAAAGAACCCCATGTCCTCAGATGCTCCAAAGAATGACAAAATAACAAAAAGTCCATTCCTATCTGAATTTGGCACACATTTTCTATGTTGTGTTTAGATTTCTTTTTAATGTGTACAAGTTGCTTCAGTTCCCAGGCTCTGAACCTAAACAACTTTTGGCCTTTGCATGTTTCATCTTTCAGAGTAGACCTTGGTCTAGATGGGCGGGATAGAAATCAAATAAATAAATAAATAAATCTTGGAGACCATCTGTGCTTGCAGCAGTCAGCTCTTTGAATTTTTCTCTCTTTGTGTGGTGGCATTCAATTTTTCATCTCTTTTTCTTTTTGTTGCTGTTGCATATCAGCAAAACATTTCGCTTAAATATTTGCTTCACCAAGCTTCTTTATTTATATACACTCACATCCTTAAGCATTCAAAATGTGTGCTGCTTTAAATTATGTTCTTGCTTGGCTTTCTCAACCCTTCATTTGTGGGTATACTTTCTCATATTCTTACACTGTTACTACCCACAGGAGACTCTCTTAGCCTACAGACCTGTAGCAGAGATGAGGAGGTTTACCTAGAACATTACCAGTGGCCATGATGTCTGTGGTATTTGTGGAAGTCCACATGAGTAGCTTTCCCAATCTCTGCCATATTGTCCCAGGCTCATTTCTTGCCAACATTCCATTGCTGGAACATGGATTGTGACATTTTCTGTGCCACTAATAACTTCCGAAAATATGAAATACAAATTTCCATTGCTTCTGTTGCAGTCAGGACCCTGGAGGTCAAATACTGGCAGAACAAAATCACAAATGCCATTCTTAGGGCAGATGGGAAAATGCAGAATATTAATGCATAAATTCTCTTTCTACAAACAAAACTTTGAGGAGGCATAGCAGCTACAAGTGATTCATTAAACAGTACAGTGGTGCCTCGCTTAGCGATTGCTTCGTTTAACGATGTAATCGCTTAATGATTGGTTTTCTGGAGAGATCTTGTGCTCCGTTTAACGATGTTTCCTATGGGCGATTTTCACATAGCGATGTTTGGGACCTTGCTTCGCATAGCGATGACAGTTTGGGTCCCCCTGTTTCGCTTAAAGAATCTCTTTCTACAAACATAACTTTGAGGAGGCATAGCAGCTACAAATGTTTAAAAAAGGTTTAGAATGCTTGAAATCATAAGTGCACTTAGTAAACCCTTTGTTAAACTAAATTGACTTTGTTCTGACTCTTTTCCGTGTTGGCTGTCTTTTAAATGTTTTAAATGTTTAAAAAAGGTTTAGAATGCTTGAAATCATAAGTGCTCTTAGTAAACCCTTTGTTAAACTAATTTGACTTTGTTCTGACTCTTTTTGAATTTGTTGTAATTCCCCCCCAATTGAAATGCATTGAATAGGTTTCAATGCATTTCAATTGGGGAACCGCGTTTCACTTAGCAATTTTTCCTATTGCGATTTTCGCTTAAGGACGGCAATCCGTTCCCATTGGAATGGATTATCTGGTTTTCAATGCATCTCTGTGGGAAAATGTGTTTCACTTAGTGATGTTTTCCCGTAGCGATGGGTTTTTTTACACCAGTTAAAATCGTTAAGCGAGGCACCACTATATAACATAAAAATGTAAAGGAGTATTAGTAAACCATTCCTTTAACAGCTCACTTACCTGGAAAGCCCTCTTAAGAGTTGTGTTGTTTTTTGCACCAATTAAAATCGTTAAGCGAGGCACCACTATATAACATAAAAATGTAAAGGAGTATTAGTAAACCATTCCTTTAACAGCTCACTTACCTGGAAAGCCCTCTTAAGAGTTGCCATAACCAGAAGCAACTTATCAGTGCATAACAATAAATAAAGTTTGTACCAGAATACCCTTCCCTCCCAATGAAAATGGTGCAAAGGGTCTTGAATTTATTTAATTTCTGTCAAGAGGATTGCAATATGTAATCATTATGAGAGATAAATACAGTGGTGCCTCGCACAACGATGTTAATTGGTTAAAAAAAAAACGTTCTGTGAAAACATCGTTCTGTGAAACACCATTTCCCATAGGAATGCATTGAAAACCGGTTAATCCATTCCAATTGGAACGGATTGCCGTCCTTAAGTGAAAATCGGCATAGAAAACATCGTTGAGGGAAACATGGTTCCCCAATTGAAATACATTGAAGCCGACTCAATGCATTTGAATGGGTTTGCGAAGTCCCTTTTCGCTCCTGTAAAAGTGTCTTAAACTGTTTGAAACCTGTTTTAAATGCTTGCAATCGTTAGCCCACCTCCTGAAACCTATGCAAACTTAATGTGATGTTGTTCTGAGGCGTTGTTAATTTCTCGTGAATTTTTTTCTCTCTCATTGAGAAGCATTGGACGGACCGTCCAATGGCTTTCAATGGAGAATAAAAAAATTCACCAAAAATTAACGAAAACTCAGAACAATACCAAATTAAGTTTGCATAGGTTTCAGGAGGTGGGCTAACGATTGCAAGCATTTAAAACAGGTTTCAAACAGTTTAAGACACTTTTACAGGAGCGAAAAGGGACTTCGCAAACCCATTCAAATGCATTGAGTCGGCTTCAATGTATTTCAATTGGGGAACCATGTTTCCCTCAACGATGTTTTCTATGCCGATTTTCACTTAAGGACGGCAATCCGTTCCAATTGGAATGGATTAACCGGTTTTCAATGCGTTGTTGGTTCTAATTTATATAGCTGAAAAGTCTGGGTGGATAATACGAATTATACACTGTAACAGTGGTGTATATTTTTGCTGTAGTACTTGTGTGTGTATGCATGTGTTTAATGTTATTCAATATTTCTAAAAGAAATTACGTTCTGCCTTCCTGGTACAGGGAGCATACAAAGGCAGCTCCGTGATGCTATTACAACATTGTAGTGCTATCAGTAATGTTATCTGAGTTGTGTGACTTCACATCATTTAAATCAGGAATGGGGAAAGTGTAGCCCTCCATTAGCCCTCCATATGTTGTTTGAAGGCAGCTGCAATGAAGCCTGATAGAGACAGCGTATAAGAAAATCTGCAAGGCTGTATGTTTCTCATCTCTGCTGCAGGGTTGTAGGCCCTTGATCTAACACATATTTAGCCTAACTTTCTTTTTTTTTTTTTAAAAAAAAAAAATCTTGTACATATTTAGCCTAACTTTCTTTTTAAAAAAATATCTTGTAATCCAGGTGATGGCACAAAAATATTGTTTTTAAAAAACACACTAATAAATACTGCAGTATCAGTACTACTAATGTCCATGTAATCAAAATGTTCTTAATGCTTCTCTTTCTTCTTCCTTGTAATCTCAGATATTTATGAATATGTAAACAGAAAGAAACAGATCTCTTTATTTTCATCTTCACATTTTTTCTATGCTATGAATCAGAGAAAATATCAGACTGTTTATCAGTAACCTCAGATATCTGTGATCGGCACGCCAGCTGTTGTAAAAAGTGTTTTCGTTGTTCTTTACTACTACATTTTCTAACTTTGAAAATCTGCATTAAGTAAGAAGACTGGCCTGTGACAAAAACAATTGATGTCCCTTCAAATGAAATCACAAACCAGAGTATAGTGACTCGTGTATGGTTGTGGGGTTTTTTTTGCACATGTCATTGTTGATAACAGAGAAAAGAAAAGAAAAAGCAAGCTTTTAGAACACTGGACATACATTATAGCTACTGTTGGTTTTGCATTCATGTTACACCAGAGATGGGCAATATGTGGCCCTCAAATATTGTTGGACCGCAGTTCCCACAACCCTTCAGCATCGACTCTCTCCTGCCAAGATCTCATAGTTTTGCAGTTGAAAACGTACTTAATGCTAGCTTTGGGATTCCAAGACCTATAGATAGAAGGGGGTGGGGGTAGGGCAGAGCTGTCTGACCCAGCAGCTGGCTGGGGTTTCTTGTGCTGACTATCTTGCTATCTTCTTTTCTCTATGTCTGGTTCTGTCCTCCCAGGAGTGAAGATCCTGCCCATCCCTGTCCTCTCCAATAACTACAGCTACCTTGTTATTGACACTGGCTCCAACTGTGCTGTAGCTGTAGACCCTTCTGACCCGTTGGCTGTGCAGGTGAGAGAAACCAGATGTGACCTGACTCCTCCCACTCCTTCCTTCCTTCCTTCCTTCCTTCCTCCCTCCCTCCCTCCCTCCCATCCAGCAGGTAACATGAAGTGTCCTGGATGGGAATCAACTGCTGGACCTGTTAAGTTAAGGATAAGTTGCTTATCCTTTTTTTTTAAATCCAGGAGCAAAAAATTTAGAGACCTTGGGCCATTGTCTTTGTCTAGTAACTTGCACTCACTCAGGAGTCTTTACACCATTAGCTAATTGCTAGTAGTAGACCTATTGAAACAATAGTTAAACATTATATCGACACTTGAGCTATTGAGTCTACACAAGAGATTCCTGCCCTTAGTAACCAAATCATCTTACCAATGTACAGTACATGGATAAATGGTATGTGTTGAATATTTGGGGAATATGCAACATTCCAGACATGATACCCATGACCATCCATCAGCTTCAGACTGCATGGCCAATGTTCAGGGAAGATGGGAGTTTTCACCCAGCAATATTGGGAGGGCCACATATTCCCCGCTTGTGATGAACACCCATAGAGATGGCAGTATAGCATGAATGGGAGTAAGTGAGACACTAGAGTACCTTGAATGAAGTAGAGTGGGGTGCATGCAAGGCACAGGCCAGGACAATGTCTGGGCTATAAAAAGGAAATAGTATTGCCTAGAACCAGGGGTGTGTGGTGAGGAGCAAAACAAGAAAGCTTTGGATTCTCTACCTCCCCACACTCAGCTAGCATTCAGATCACAGATGCAAAATGTTCGCCTAGGAAGAAACTTTTCAGGGCCAGCTGTGCTTCACCAAAGAGCATTAGACAGAATGAAACAGCTGTGACAGATAGGGTTTTTTTCTAATTTAGTAGGCATTTGTTTTTTTCAGGGGAACTCTGATTTGGGGGGAACAGGAAGAAGTAGAGAATTCTCAATGTGTTTACCAAGCAGTAATTCTTGAAATTTTCTGTAGAAAGTTGTAAAAGTTGAACTGAGAGCTGATATACATAGAGATTAGATGACTTGGCTACATGTCAGAACATATCTGGTTCAAGTCTTGCCTTTGTTATGTACTGACAAAGATGGCCTTAGGGAAGTGCTCACTTCCGATTCCCCAGTTTGGGCATAGCAATAGAACGGATCTTGGTTTTTATTAAACACATAGAATATGTGCAACACACTTTGTGCAGTAGCCACTGCTGTAAAGAAGGCAAGGCATTTATTAATTAAATCGGTACAAATCCAATATATTGTGGATATACCCTTTGTGTTTTCTTTGGCTGCAACTAGCAGAGCCCATGGGAATAAGACAGCCAGCCAGAACAATGACTCAAAGGGTAGAAGGGAGGGGGGCAGGTATCCAAAGTCAGAATGGGAATCTTTGTCTCCATATTCCCCTACTTTAGACATGTAGCACAGGAATCCTGATGCAATTATCAGTGTTGAAGAAGCAGCTTTTCTTTTTCCTTTTTTGGAACACTTATGATGGAGCAAATGCTACAAAAGCAAGCTCCCAGTAGGAGGCACCTCTAAGGCCAAAGTTCTTAACCTTTGGCTTTCATATATTTTGTAGACTTCAGTTCAAATGCAGTCAGCTGTGCTCCTGGGAATGGAAAGAGCAATCCTCAATTTGAATTTGAGTTCTCACCAGCAATACCATCAACTCCCATCAATAAACGCTGTCATTCCTGTTATCCCTACCATCCCATTTTCACCACTTAAGAGTATAGTAGTTGGTTGGAATGAATATGTTGATCTTTCCTCTCATGTGGGTGTGTGGAATCCCAGCAGGGAAGAACCACTTTTGAGATTCACAAGTCGTTTGTCTTTCAGATTTGCTTGTGACATGACCTATGTTAGGAACATAAGAGGAGGCATGCTGAATCAGACTAAAGGCCTCTCTAGCCCAGTGTTTTTCCCCACACTTGCCAATCAGGTGCTTACAGAAAGACAGGATATGAGGGAAACCACACCCTCCCAATTGTGCTCCCCAGCAGCTGATACTGAGAGGCATGGCAAGGATGTACTGAGGGGAGATTTGTAGTGCTGGCAATAATTTAAATTCAAATTGAGGTTTGCTTCGTTAATCTCCAGGAGCATCGCCAACTGCACTTGACTTCAAGGCTGAGAATTCTGGGAGCTGAAGTCCGTAACCTCTGTAGAGCCAAAGGCTGATAACCATAGCCAGAAGTCATTAGAAAACATTAATAGTGTTCTCCTTCATGAACTGGTCTTAAACCTTTTTAATACTGCCCACATCATTGCTACATCTTGTGGCACAGTTTAACCATCTGCTGCGTGGATCAGTGTTTTATCTGTCCTGAATCTCCCAGCACACTTATTTCACAGAATACTCCTGGCTTTCAGCATTGTGAGAGAGGCAGAAACGCTTCTCCCTATTTGTCCCCCCCCCGCCCCATACCATGCATCCAATGTGTTTTTCCTACCTCTGTCCCTTCCTGTCATGTCTGAACAGTTATCCTCTGAAGTAGGGGGTCACTTGATGAGCCTTTCTCAACCAGTCCAGCTGTGCGGTGTGCCTCTGGTTCCTGCATGCTCCATGTTGCTCAGTGTTTCTTTGTTCTTCCTAAGCAGAGACCTAGCATTGGATTGGACCAAAAACCCATCTAGCCTAGCATTCTGCTTTCAGACCTCTTGCAGGAGGGAAGAACCAAAAATCCGCTGAATCAGGGAACTCTTTATATTTCTCCCCCTTCTTTGTATCTACTGCTTTTCTTGGGATGCGGCCAGTGACTGCTCTGATACATGTCTTTCTCTTGCTCTGCAGTCAGTGATTGAGGAAGAGAAGGTGACACTGGAAGCCATCCTGTGCACTCACAAACACTGGTAAGGGGACCCCCTACCCCACCCTTCTTCCCTTTCCTGTCCCAGGCTGCAGATAAGGTGGCTGGAAGGCTCCCGGATCTTCTGTGTGCTAAGCGAGCTTTCTACCACTCTGCTCTAGGTTATAAGAGCAGAGTGTGGATATGTTATTTTCTGACGTTTCTGTGTGTGCAGTTAGCAGCGACTTGGCAGGCAACCCAGGGGGTGGCAGCAGCGGTTGTCATCTTTGGGGATGCTTTGATCTCCATTCCCATGAACCAGAGTGGCAGCTAGGAAGACATGGCACCTCCCCTCTCTCTCCTAACGCCTCATCTTGAATTAGTTTGGGATATTGGAAGCAGGAGGGCCAGAGGAGGACTGATAAGAAAGACCAGCTTCCAGTAAGCTTCACAGCTAACGTGCCTTGTCTCTCAGGGATCACAGCGGGGGCAACGCAGCATTGCGGCGGCGGCACAGCTCTTGCAGAGTCTACGGCAGCAGTTATGATGACATCCCTGAACTGACAGAGTGAGTGGCCTTTGGATTCGGCTCCCCCCCAATGGTGAGGGTGGTGAAAAAGCCCTGCTGCTTGAGCCTGGAATGTAAAACCAAACTCCCTTGCTGGTTTGCTTACTTCTCTGGCACAGAGATTAGGAAAGTTACTCCCAATACTCAGGCATTCTTCTAGTACTGAACAATGGCTGCAATTTGTAGTGACTGTGAAAAGGTGGTTAGGAAGGGGAAGAAACATACACAGCAATTAAACACACACACATATGCACTCTCGTAGCTGGAATGCTCGAACTGGGACTGGGGTGATCCAGGTTGGAATCCCGACAAAGTCTTGAAACTCACTAGGTAACTATGGGCCAGCCTGTCTTTTTCAGCCTACCTCATAGGATTTACTTCAGGGACAGGGGAAGAGGAAGGATACATATGCCATCTTGAGCTCATGGTAGGCCAAGTGGGAAATAAATGTAATAAATAAATAAACAGATGTTTTAGTTCCTGACTCTTCAAGGCGAACTGCTGTATCATTTGTTCCCTGGAAGAATTTGGTCACTTATTGGAGTGCTGTGCAGTACACTGTTTTGAATGTCTTCTTATAGGTCTTTCAGACTGCCTGTTATGTTAGTCTTCTTTCATTCATGTTGCCACAAACCCACATTTGTTTTCTAGCCCCCTGTCAGACAAGGAGACCATCACGATAGGGCGTTTGAACTTCAAGGCCCTCTTCACTCCAGGGCATACTGTGGGCCACATGGTCTACGTGCTGGACGGGAAGCCTTTTGAAGGGCCAGCCTCTCTCTTCTCAGGAGACCTCCTCTTCCTCTCTGGCTGTGGTACGTCAGCGGTTGAGGGGAGGGAGTGGGTGTGTGGGACGCTCCTTGCATCCAAGGCAAGTCTTATGCCCACCATTGGGAAATAAAATGTGAATCCATCTTTTCTAGTCCGGGTGGGGGCAGAAACTGTGTCAGTGCTCCCTATTCAACTCCAGGATCACATGAAACAGCTTCCCAGATGTAAAGAGGACAAAGAGGACTTTGGCCTGTTCTCTGGGAGATAATCTACAGGTTCCATTGGTCTGTGAGGGGAAATGTAAGGGTTGTAAAGGCATCTGTGGCTCAGGGAGGAAGAAATTTATTTTGGGGTTGAGATAGGGGGTCATATATTAGCTCTTATTGCCCTTGTTGAATTAACTCCTTGCTCCTGATATTTAGGTCGAATATTTGAAGGGACCCCTGAAACAATGCTGGCATCGCTAGACACAGCAGCTGACCTTGCCGAAGATACACTGCTTTGGCCAGGTAAAAACAGCGCACACTTTCCCTCCCGCTTTGCCCCTCTGTTTTGCCCTGATGTGTCAGGAGCTAGAAGAGAGGTGGAAGAAAAGAGGGTGTCCCTACATAAAGTAACGAGTGCCTGAGGAGAATATGAGGATTACATCTCTCTCATCATCCCCAAATTGCATGAGATATTTGTGAATGGTAGGACTTATAGACCAACATTTTCACTAAGCACATGCCTGGAAACTTTTGAGTAGCAACATTTTTGTGTTCTGTTCAGTGTCTTTTTCTCTTCCCCCGGCCCATGTTAGAGGTGTGTACTTCAGCTTGTGACCTAGGGATATAGATGCAGTCTAGAGTTCTGTGTTACAAAGCAGCTGAGGGCAAATGTGTAAAGCTAACTAGTGACTCCCCACCCCAGCGCAGGGGTGGGAATATATGACTGAGGTTGGACTGCAGTTGCTGCTGTCTGCCATCATTGGCTTATACAGTCTAGGATCGCTAAGACTTGTGGTCATAGGACTTCTGGAGGGGCATGTTTTCTCCACTTCTACTCCAGTGGGACTGTGTTTCAGCAGTGTGGAAGATCTTCCAACAGTGTCACGGTCCCCAAGCAGCATGGAGACTATGCATGGCTTATTACAGCAGCCTTTATGGGTTGCACAGAGGGGAGCGTCCTTCTAAGTGGGATCCACCATGGGTCAGTTGTTTATTGGCAATGAGAGGAGATGCACTTCCATATGTGGCAGCAGCAAGACTGGCAACCTTAAGAACATTCTTCCCTACCTGGATGAAGCCCCCCTCCCCCAGTTGACTATGCCGTGTTCTTTTTCTAGGGCACGAGTATGCATTAGAGTGCCTAATGTTTGCAAACCTTCTGGAACTGGAGAACCCTTTCCTGGTGCAGAAGCTGCAGTGGGTGAATCAGCAGCGTGTTGAGAAGAGAAGTACGGTGAGTATTGTGTGTGTGTGCGCACGCACAAACATTTGGACACAGTGTTTCTTTCAGACCAACACTTAACAGAGAACAGGAAAATGTGCAGTAAATTGATACTGGTTTACTTTGGGTTTGTTTTGTTTCTTAACAGATGAAAGATCCAGCCAACTGTGTGTATTTCCCGCCCTTCCCCTTCAGTTGCTGTGCAGCAGTCCATGTGTGTCTGGCCTTTTCATTCCCCAAAGGCCTGCTTGGTCTGAAAGCCTCTATCCTGGCAGGTGCTCTGTCCCTGGCACTCACCCAAGAGCAGTTTCCTGGCTTTTTCTCCCCTCTGGAAACACCTGTTTCGGGAGTTTCCTGGCTGTATCTTGCTTTAGGCCTCCGTTCCTAGTTAAGATTTAAAGTGGGCCTACCGGACCTTTGAAAGCTTGGCAGAGTTGTCTGTCTGGCGCAGAGGAGGATGGGACTGCTCTAGGGGATTGTGGCTGTATTGCCCTGGTGGGATCGGCATGTGTAGAAGACTCTTGGTCTCACAGAATATGCTTGTTGATGCCGTACCTTGGACATCTCAGGTGCTTGCTAGAATATGACACCAACATACATTACATGTGTTGCCCATGTGCTATTGAGTGTGATGCTGTGGGAAGGGAGAGGCCATAGTCCTGGGGAGAGTGTGGGAAGATTCCTTTTGTTGTGCTACAACTCTCAGAATCCCCCAACATGGAATCTCCATGTTCCATTTGCAGAAACTGATTAGTCTGGCAGTCAAAGCTGACTTGAAAGCTGGCTGCCTCTTCTTTACCTGAAGGTGTAGGACTGATATGTGGGGCACATGACATTCCACATTTGTCTTTCCATGTATATGTTTGCCATGTACTGACCCCGTTGCTTGCTGGGATACACAAGCATGGAAAGGTGAGCAACCACAGAAGAATATTTCTCACCCCAGGTTGCCTTTAAGAAGGGAAAAGGTTGCAGCAAATTAAGCAAAATTGACCCAGGCTGTGGTCACACAAGAGAAGTGCCCCCCTCCTTTTTTCACATCTCGGTTCCTGTATAGTTGCACATTGTGGTCACGTAGCATATATCCTGTGATAGTGGTTCATAAATCTTTTGACTTAATCCAGAAAAGACGGAGGTGTTCTTTGGACAGCTGAAAAGCAAATCACGAAATAGGGTTGCAACCTGTGCTGGATGATATTACACCCCCTCTGAAAACACAGGGGCACAGTTTGGGGGTGCTTTGGATTCATCCCTAAGCTTGGATGCCCAGGTCTCGGCAATGGCCAGGAGTGCCTTTGCACAGTTAAAGCTATTGGGCCATCTGCACCTGTTTCTTGAGAGGGTTGATCTGGCACAATGACACATGCCCTAGTTACATTTCAACTGGATTACTGTAACACACTCTATGTAGGGCTGCCTTTGGAAAGTGTTTGGAAACTCTAGAGGGTCCAAAATTCCACAGATTATTAAACGGGGTCTGGTTACAGGGATCATGTCTCTCTCTCTCTCTCTCTCTCTCTCTCTCTCTCT